TCTAATTCTTTTTAAATTTTAATTTATTATTTTTCTCTTCTCATTTATATCATCTATATCCCTTGCTTTATTTTGTGTAATGTCAATTCTCCTTGTGTTCCTCCCTACTTCATCTTCATTACTTTGTGATGGTTTTAGTTTTTCTTCTATATTTTACCTAGTCATTACTTTTTTCCCTGATTCATGACCTTCATTCTTAGAGACAATTACTTTATTAAGTTTGATTTAGTTCATGGTAAAATGATTGGTCAGAATTTTCATCTGGTTTATGGCAACATATTTACTGGTGTGTTATTTATCTCATAAATTTAGCTGAATTCTCCTACCTTTTTTCTTATAATATTTTTGTATAATGCTGCTGTCAGCTCCTTTTTCATTATTCATCTTAGAATGGGATTTTCACTTTCCTAGACCAGGAAGGGGGTTGTATATTTTGCTATGGTTTCTGATATTTGCCACCCCACCATAGTTTGCATTTACTACATACTTATGCCCACAGGTTTAATTTTATTGTATTCCAGGGCTTCTTTGAAGATTGTATCTGCTTTCGGTAGCCTTACATGTGTTGTTTTTAACTCTTTCTATTATATCTTCCTTGTCACATTGCTGAAAATCGAGTTTAGGTATTTATTCAAAGCACATTGCTACTGTTGAATGACATCCAAGAGAAGAAGTAAGTTGCTGTCTAATGTTTTTGTGTATATACTGTTGAGTTTTTCATTATATTTGTTATTTGCAATGGAATTTCAAAAAAAATAAAGTATTGACATCTTGACAATGATGCATGCAAGTCTCATGATTGCTAATCTATAAGTTTAACATTAATCTTACCTAGTTCATTAAAACAGGTAACTATAAACTTGTTTCCCTTGTATGTAAATCTCTTTAACATTTGTACTCATACCCAAATACATACTCTCTGTTAAACACAGATACTTTTTCTACAAAAAAATTTAAAAACCAGTAATTTATATCATTCTTTTCTCCTGGAAATTCATTTTATTCTGTTACCTTAGCTAGCCAACATGAAATAGCATTCCGCATTTATGAGCTGATTAATAGAGGGTGCTATGGGACTAAGTTAAGAATAATTACTCATTCCCTGAGGAAAAGTTGGCACCAAGGAAGATAAATGTGTTTTCTAGATCTTCTCGTGGGTGTTAATGGACTTCATAGAAAACCAAATATTATCTTGGCAGTACCCAACATGGAACTGGTAACAAATAACCATCTTAAGTGGCACAAGAAATTCTCAAATTAGACATAACCCCTCAAAATTCAGCCCCAAATTCCTCTGACATTTAACAGGAAATTACTGTTTGCTTCTTTCTAACATTAGATAAAGGGAGTGAGCAGAAGTGTTAACCCCAAAAGCCACTGAAAAATCTGCTTAATTATTTTCTTGGGTTGCTGACCCCTGAGAGTGAAAAACACCGCAACTAAAAAGGTAAATCATTGAGTCAATTCTGAGTTGGCCCTAAACATTCTTACCAAAGTTGGTATTTCCACCTCCAGGTGTTTGTGAACAGACAGGACAGCATTCACCAGGAGGAGTTACAGGGTCAGCACAGTCAAGCACTTCCTGGCACTCTATCTTGTCACAAAGAATAGCTCCATTGTCACAGACACAGATTTGGCAAGGGGCAGGTTTCCAAATGTCCCTGTTTAAGTACATCTGGCCATTTTGAGTGCAGGCTATTTCTTCACCATATCCCTCTAAAAACAGAAGAAAAAGAAGAAGAAAAGAAAAGGAGGTTAGTAATCTGAAATTTTGGAATTTGAAAAATATTTAAGGTAAGTCGTTTGTGGATTCTAAAAAAATTCTTGGCTACAAAGTAACCTCCCAAGGAGCCAACACAAATGATCTTATTTCATTTAGTATTTACATACAAAATTACATGTAATTGACCATGAAATGATTATCATACTTACCCTCACATAATAGGGGAAGGAAAAAAAAGTGATCCAATGGAGGTATACTTTTGAACCACAGAATGATTCATACGAGATTTTATTTTTTTAATGTATGAAGTATGAATGATCAAACATGAGAATATCAGTAAGTAGGGATAAAAACAAATCCTTTGAAAATGAGGAGAAAAAGAATAGCTCAAAAAAGAATATATAATTTTAGTGTTTGGTGAACTCTATATGATTTTCAACTCACTAGAAACTTTGGATTAGTAAATGCCACAACAAGAGAAAATACATATTCATATACCATAGAGTAAAACTTCAAAAAAGAAAAAGGTATATGGGTTTATTAAAATTATTTTTAAATATAAAATCAAAA